CCCCTTGCTGGCGTTCCCCCCCTTGCTGGTGTCCCGTCCTCCTTACTGGCATGCTCCCTACTGGTGTCCTCCTCAATAGTCACTGGTCATCCTACATCCTGCTTAGTGGTCCTAAGACACTAGCGGTCCAGAATCCTTATTGATATGTTTTCCCCTTTCCTCCTGCTGACTACTCTACCTACTACTACTGACTGGTCTGCCTACTACTGCTGACTGGTCTGCCTACTACTGACTAGTTTACCTACTACTACTGACTGGTCTGCGGCCTCCTGGTCCCGTTAGTGGATTCCACGTTGTTGGTCGCGTGCTGGCTAGAGGTGCATCGTGCGATGGCTTGGTTAACTGGATTCTGGACCGCTAGTGTCTTAGTATCAGGTTTGGAGTGGGGTACGAACAAGGTGAGTGAGGCTAAGTAACCATACGGCGTACGGCCTGTAGGCAACGAGTCTGAGTGGTCTTGGTCCTGAGAGTGAAACAAGCGTGGCTGGATGGCGAGTGGGCCAGCGCCGTACGAATGGGGATGACTACGAGATGTTTACAATTGAGCAATTGACAACAGGAGCGTTATTATCAAGTGAGGTGGTACCGGAGAGGACGGATGAGTTGTTATCGAAGGAATTGAAGGATGCGTTGATGGTGGGCTTGGGTCAGAGAGTTCGCGGAGCGGAAAAATCTAAATGGCACACGCAGATATCGGTTCCCGATTTTCGATTGGAAGGTTTCAACGCGTTTGGACTTTCGTTCATTGAAGCGCAAAGAAGTGAGGGTAAGTTTTCTGTTAAGGTAACTAAGGACAACAGTTACTACGATTGGTATTCTGATGAAGAGGACGAAGACGACGACGATGAAGACTACCAGGTGTCCATTAGCCAACAAGGTATTCAGAGCTCATCTGTCAACGTGCCTAAGGTTCGTTCGATGTATGGAGACGACGAGACTACTCCAACCGGGGTTGCAACGCTGGTTAAGGATTTGGCTGCCAGTATAAATGCCCTTGATCCCGCGTATAGACAGGCAATTGCAGACTTCGTCGACTCGCAAAGGAGCATTGCCAGCAGTAGAGAAGGGAAGCGACGTTTCTGGTATAAGAAACTCAGCTCACCCACCCCTAGTATATACGAATTCAGAAGAGATTGGGTATGTGGCCAAGCTGAAGTACAACACATCCCCCTCGTCACGCAAAACCAGAATCAGGGCTTGAGGAGGACGGATAAAAGGTACAACTTCAGATTGCCCATCTTGTTTGCGCGCGTACATATTGTCAACCCCGATATTGAGAAAAAACTCCTAGGACAAAAGATGCACGGCGTCTTTGGCCAGTTGGACCTTGTCGTTGGTCACAGTCAATGGGTTCCTATTACTATCGAATCGGATAAATTATCTATCATTGGAATAGATCGCGCCGGAGGGGGAGCAGCGACCCCGGGAGGAGCAGCGACCCCGGGAGGAGCAGCTGCCCCGGGAGCAATAGACCGACCCGGAGCTGGCACCGGATTTGACCAGAAATACATTCAAGAACGGCTGGCCACTGCTTCACCCTCCATCGGACGTCTAGGGTGTTCTCAGGCGCATATAATCAGCCGGGACGGCTATCAAAATATGTGTGCACACACTGGAAACGCGCTAAATCGGCATTATCGGACCAGTATTTCCCCCAGCGACGCCTTTGCGCTTAAGTGCGTTGGGCTTTATCCTGACAAAACCATCGTCGTTAGCACCAGGCACCGGGACGTTATTTCCGGAACAACAAGCGGCATGCAGACAGAGACTCTTGTTGTAGCCAACATTTGCCAACAAGGGCAGTGGACTGAGGATATTGTTCTTGATCCGTCGAAGGCGGCTGAGGTGCAGAAGACCTGCGCGTCAAACGTATACAAGGAAGTTGCGTACGATACCTTCGCCAAAATGGTTGATGCCGCTACGTATCAGCGCTACATAATCAAGCCGGCTCCGCCATCAAGCAGACTGCCTCTTCCGCCCCAGCTTATTCCGCGCCCTGTCGTCAACCGCCAGCCATCTTCGACCCAGCTCATTTCGCCGCAGGTCCTTGCTACCAACCGCATGGGTTTCGCAGGCCACCGACCGCAGCAACAGATCATGCCGCAGCAACAGATCCTGCCAGTGACGCCCGTCCGAATAGCGTCCATACCGCATAACATACGACCGGCTTATCCTATCAAAGTCCTCACGTAGCGAGTCGCGCGTCCTCAAATGGCGAGCCTCTTGCTCCAAGGCGTTCCCTCGATAAAGATGTTCTCTAGATAAAGGCGTCCCCCCGATTAGGTGTCCCCCCGATTAGAGTGTCGCCCCGATTAGGCGTCATATCTTCATACAGGAATTATGTCTTCGTAGAGCCTTCCTAAAGGCACAACGAGCAGCCTACCACAAGTGAGGGTTAGGAGGCTCGTAGCTTCGCTTCCCGCCCAGCCCTCGGTTTCTACTCCGTTCCGATGGTCGGTTGTACTCAGGCGCCCGGTCTTGTCCCGTCCGCTTGGAGACTTTTCGTGTCGCTGCTTCGCGCTCCAGGTCTCGGCTTTTGTTCTCGCCACGGCGTCCTTGACTGATTCCTCTGTCATATCGGCTTGCGCGATCCTGTAAATTTCGGTCTGATTGACTGCCTGATTCAGCGCGATCAGGAATTCGATCTGTCATTTCCTTTTCGGGTACTCGGTCAACCGCTCGATCCGGTAATCGATCAGGTAGTCGATCAATCGTTCGGTCCGGTAGTCCACCTATCGTTCGGTCGGGTAGTCGGTCAACCGTTCGGTCAGCCACCCGCTCTACACCGCCCTTTTCTGCTATCCGTTCGGAGCCTCTTGGCCGCTCTGAAGACTGAGCAGGTACCGTTCGGCTATTTCGGGGGACATCAGGAGGTGCTACCTTATCCGGCACGGCCTTCTCTGGCTTGCCTGGTTGGTTACCGGATTCGTTCGCCGCTCGTTCCGTGGGGCCTTGGCGGTCCTTGGGATGATCCGGCGTCAGCGGACTGGGTCGGACATGTCTCACGTCGGCTGCATTCAGCAGCGGCGCTTGACGATCCAGACTTTTGACACTCCCTCGCGGTGGGTAGTCCGGCCCACCCTGACCGTCGCGCATCAACCGACTTCGCTCATCGACCAACCGACTTCGCTCATCAGCCATCCGTCTGCCCTGCTGAGACTGGAAGATTCCCACTATCGCCGGAGGAGGATCTCGGTTCACACCGGCATCGCGGAGACCGACATCCCGAAGACCGACTTCACGACTGGAAGCGAGAGGTTCATACTCACGACTGTCTTTAGGTCGCAAAACGCGGCCGGCATCGGCCCCGTCGAGCGGATGACTGGGCTGTATCAGTGCATCCGAATGCATTCGGCCCTCGAACTGTACGCGACCCTCGAACGGTGCGCGACTCTCGAATTGTGCACGGTGGTGGTCAGGGAGGGTGGGAGGCGGCACAACGAGGGGCGGCGCGTCAAGGCTTCGTGACATAGTTGCATCGTACCGTTGCTTGTGAGACCTTCGATCTCGATCGCGCTCCTCCGCAACTGACCGACCGCCCAGAGCGTCCCGACTCTGTAAAGTCTCCCGACTCTGTAAAGTCTCGCGACTTTGGAGAGTTTCGCGACTTGGTTCACGGTCTCGACTCTGCGTCTTACCAGCAGTATCCTTAGGATAGTTTCCACCTTTGCTTAGGTCCCTCACGCGGCTATCGTCATTGGTAGCCGGGTCAGTCCGGGACACGCGGGGGATCGACCTCAAGGGTGACCCTGGACGTTTCCGTTGGTCAGTCGCGCCGGATTGCCGAGGCTGCTCCGATGACGGTGGTTTTGGTATAGTCACCGTCTTCACGGCCGGCACAAGACGTCCCCCACGGCCGCCGTCCGATCTCTCGGCTTTGTGTCGCGGGTCGCCGGATCGGTCTTTGATCTCACCTCGATCTTTAGTATCACCTCGGTCCTTAGTATCTCCTCGATCTTTAGTCTCACCTCGCTCTTTGGCCTCACCCCGGCCTTTAGTCTCAATCCGACCTTTAGTAGTCTCACCTCGCTCTTTGGCCTCAGCGCGATCCCTGAGCTCGCCTCGATCTCTGAGTTCGCCCCGGCCGTGGCCGTCGGCGCGGTTTTCAGAAGTGTTGTTGCGTGTGATAACGTCTTGGGCTCCAGCAGACTCGGTTCGGGTTTCCCCGGCCGCTGATTTGCCCCTTTGATGTTTCTGGGGCGAGGGAAGCCGGGTGTTCGTCTGCAGTTGGGGCGTCGCCAGCTGGGAAGGCCGTGATTGGTTGCTGCCCCCGTCGGAAAGACAAGCGCTCGAATTTATCCGTGAACCCGGTCGTCCTTTACCACCGCTCCGGAGCCCACGTTTCCGCGTCTCCTTCTCGGCTTCCTCCTCAGGCACGCGCCGGCCCCGCAGCTGCAGACATCGAAACCAGACATACGCCACGAAAGAGTCAACATCCTCGCCAGAACACGGATCACCAGGCCGCGGATCATCAGGCCGCGGATCATCAGGCCGCGGATCACCAGGCCGCTCGCTTTCTGGAACGGCAGGGTCACCCGCCCCTACTGGTTCGGCCGCCTGTGCTCCAGACAGCGGCTTGGCAGATGTTTTGTCAAGACGCACGGGTCCGGGGCGCTCCAGCTCTCCCCCGCGCGGGACCTCGTCTTGAGGAGCCTCTCCCTCTTCCGGTTCCGACCTTCGGTTGCTGGTTTTGTGGCTCGTCTCCGTGTCGGTCAAGACGTCGGGGGTTGCGCCATCGGCCATGACCGCATCGGCCATCGCCGCGTCGGTTACGGCATCATCTGCCATGGCGGCGTCCAGAATAGCGCCGTCGGCCATCCCTGCGTCACCCGCGGTTCCCTCGCCCGCGGTTCCGTCACCCAGGATTCCCTCACCCGTAATTCCGTCGCCGACGGTTCCGCCGGTCATCGCGGCGTCGGTGACAAACACCTCGGTTCCGTCGGCCATGGCGTCATCGACGACAGCGGGTGGGCGGATCTCGATCTCTCTTTTGAGCCAGGCGCGGCCGGGTACGAGCCTGCGTTTGAGCGCCTTGGCGAGCGAGGATACCTCGCGGTTCTCGCCCTGTGTGCGCTGAACGCAGTCAATGAACTCGTGGACCTCATTACAGCCCTGTCTGGAGATCGGAATGCAAGCGCAGACTTGATTGAGGAAGCGCAGGAACCGACGAGCGACGAGCCACGCGGAATTTTGCGTCGGCATAAAGGCGCGTTGCATCGACTTTATTACCACCGACTCGATTACAAGAAAGAGGCGCGTCAAGTCGTCCAGATGCAGACTCGGTTCTGTTCCGGCGACCGTGCCGCCCGGTCGCGCGAGATTCTTGAGGGCGGCAAGCCAGTACGAGCAGAGCAGACTGACGGAGTCGGCCTCGATGTCGGTACAGCCGAGCAGGAAGGGCACGGCACTCACCACGAGACAGAGTGTGGCCGGTATGGCATGGAATACACCCGCCTCCACCATCAGACTCAGCCAACGACAACAGTACAACGCCTCCACCGTCTCCCACGAGGCACGCGGAAGGATCCACCGACCTACCACCGCCATCAGCACTGGGATCTGGCGCACGTCCGCCACCAGGTCCGAGGTCCCTTTCCCGAAGGCGGGAGAGGACTCGGCGTCCAGACGGTCGAATGCAACCCACCCACCTGCTTCCTGCTTAAACCACTCGGTAACCTGTGCTGTAGCCCGGCGCTTGCTTTCGTGCTCTTTACGAAGCGCATCGCGCACCTCGCGCGGCCGCTTATGTCGCTCTTCCGCACTCTTCAGCAGCTCGGAGTACGCCTCTTCCGGGTGCCCCACATCCCCCGCCGTGAGCATCCAGAAAGCCAGCAAACCTTCCACATTCACCGCCGGACAGCCAGTCAGCCTCTCCGCAAAGCGTGTAAACCGGGTCTGGTCTTCGGCAGAGCTTCGTGAAAACCAGACCATCTTCGGCACCACCGACGGGCAAGTCGATGGGCAGGACTCCACCGCCATGTCTTCAGGCTTCGCCTCTCTGCCACGACCGCTGCCCAAACGGTCATCGCCCCCCATATAGTCAGGGTCTTTTCCACATTGAACACCGTCCCTATCTTGACCACCGTCCCTACCCTGAGCGCTTCCCTTGTCTTGGGCGTTATCCTTGTCTTCGGAACCGTCTTTGTCTTGAGTGCCGTCTCGGTCTTGCGCGCTGTCTCTGTCAGGAAGTCGGTCCCTGGCGTCATCGGCGCTGTCCAGATCATCTTGGGCAGAAGAACGGCCGTCCAGGGACCGGCCATCGTTCGACCTATTTCCGTCGCCAGACGGTCCTTCGCGGGCCGGGCCTTCGGCCGAGACATTAGCCCCAGGGCGTCTGGGCACTTCGCTGGCGGATATACCTTGTTCGGCGAGAGTGAGTTTTTCTTCGCTATCTATCCCACGGGTCTCGATCTTGTGATTATCAGTTTTGTGATTATCAGTCCTATGATTCTCAATTCTACGGTCATGAATCTTGTGGATGTCAGCTACGACGGGTTGAGTGATGTAGGTGAGGCAAGGCGGTGAAGCCCATCGAATGAGTAGCCAGGCAATGTTGGCGGGTAGCACGTTGAAGAGTTCTTCCCAGATGGTAGCCGGGACAATGCGATATGCCCTGGATGGTGGAGTTGTAACCTTGTCGGTCTTGGAGACGACGATGTGCGATGATATGACAAAGTCCAGTAAGTGATACAATGCCGAATGTAACTCATCGCTCAATTCCAAGACACGTGCTAACGATAATTCCGCGTTGTATGTGACCGCCAGATCCATCTTGGCCAGACCGAGCACCAGTGCACGAAATACATTTGTATCTAACAACGTATCGCGCAGGTTGTTCTTGCACTGACGGGCACCGGGCCTCGACTCTTCCGCACGAATCTCCTCATCCGTTAAGACCAACGAACGTAACAATGGACCCCCGAAACAACATTCAATTTGGGATGCAGACATTTCCATGATGCGCCGTTCTCCGCAACCTCCCAGCCATTCCAGCAAATCGGAAATGAACACGTGGTCAAACAACCCTAATCTTACCCCGCCGAAACCCGATGGGCCTTTGTCAAGGCTTCCCGGTCCGGTAAGGCTGACCAGTTGGTTTCCATTACCCAGTTGGGCGAGGGTCTCACGGGTGCAGCAGACGTTGAGCATATCTCCAGCAACACTGACAAGGAATGCCCTGGGTGAGACCCAGCTGAACTTCCTCAAGAACTTTGCCGTGAAAAGTGAGAGATTCTTGACTTTGCGGGGCACAGCAATGTCTCGATTAGACTGTTGTGATGTAGTCAGTGATTGATGTTTTTCAATCAATAAGTAGACCATCACTTCGCAGCCAAGGCGTGTGAGAACACGTAGGTAGTCCAGAGCGGTGGCGAGCCACATGGGGTCGAACAGTTGTACGTTGTGGAGAAGGCAGTCGAATGTTTCGAAGGGGTTATTCATGGCTGACCGGCATAGGGCGGAGGAAATGGCTCGATCGTTCCGGTCCCAAGTCCTTTCGCCGCTTTTAGTGGTGTGGTTCTTATCTGCAGCACTGCTCTTGTCCCCTAAGCTACTTTTATCTGCCACGTTGCTCTTATCTCCGACATGGCTTTTGTCTCCGGTTCGGTCAGGCGCGCTCGAGGAGGCAGCTGTGATTTTTTTGAGCGATTTGTTCACTCTAGCCTTATCTTGTGCGCAGAGGTATTTAATCTCAGGCTCTTGCATTTTGAACAAGTGGAATCGGGCAAATACTCTGTACAACTGCTCCTGGTCCCATCCGATACACATGTTCCAAATGATGTCACTCATTACATGACTACTGGAATCATCCACTCGCGCAAATGGCAAAGGTATAGCCGATGTTGCAGGCGGATTGGGCACCTCACTAGGTGTCGGTAATAATAACAGTGCAGTCATCACACCATCCACCATCAACTCTAACGCCACTGGATTTGTCGCACCATGTTCCTCCACGAAATGACGCAAATCATCGCACACTTTCTGCATCACTTCACTGCTTGCCGAAGTCCATCCTAATAAAACTCGATAACATCGCAAAGTCGCACTCAATCCGCCGGCCCCTTCAGGTTCTGATACTGAAACCACAGCCGCGGTGTCCGGAACAGGACCGGTGTCCGGAACCGGATCGGAGTCCCCAGGTATAAACCAACCGCTTCCGCTGGCGTAGCCAACCACTGCAGGTGAGTTCAGGATGTCGTTCGCG